AGAATGTTTATTGACGGAAGAAACGAAGAAAAACATAAGAAAAGTTAATAGAAGGAAGAAACAAAGAATAACATAAGGAAAGGTTATAGAAGGAAGAAACAATGAATAACATGAGAAATAGTTATTGAAGGAAGAAACAAAGAATAACATAAGGAAAGGTTATAGAAGGAAGAAACAATGAATAACATGAGAAATAGTTATTGAAGGAAGAAACAAAGAATTACATAAGGAAAGGTTATAGAAGGAAGAAACAAAGGGTAACATAAGGACAGTTATGGAAGGAAGAAACAAAGGATAACATAAGGACGGTTATAGAAGGATGAAACAAAGGATAACATAAGGATAGGATATAGAAGGATGAAACAAAGGATAACATAAGGACGGTTATAGAAGGAAGAAACAAAGGATAACATAAGGACGGTTATTGAAGGAAGAAACAAAGGATAACATAAGGAAAGGTTATTGAAGGAAGAAACAAAGGATAAAATAAGGAAAGGTTATAGAAGGAAGAAACAAAGGATAACATAAGGAAACGTTATTGCAGGAAGAAACAAAGGATAACATAAGGAAAGGTTATTGAAGGAAGAAACAAAGGATAACATAAGGAAAGGTTATTGAAGGAAGAAACAAAGGATAACATAAAGACGGTTATAGAAGGAAGTAAAAAAGGATTCATGAAACTAAAAGGTTATAGAAGGAAGAAACAAAGAATAACATAAGGACGGTTATAGAAGAAAGAAACAAAGGATAACATAAGGACGGTTATAGAAGGGAGAAACAAAGGATAACACTAGACTTTAATTCGTCACTTAGACGAATTAGGTGATACGTATGATAATGGTTTTAATAACGAATAATGCATTACATGATATATTATTTTATAAAATGCTTCTCCCATTATGATCTATCCATATGTCAAAATTAAATTGTGTCTCCTCGATCATCATGGATCTAGGGAAGATAGATTGAAACAATATATGACCTTTGACCCTGTGCAGTAACCAGTTACACCTTTGACTCTAATTTACATCATGAACAACACCTTTTGACGATTTTATCTTATTCAAAGAGATGAAAATGTAATTGATAAATGATTATCATTATTATGATAATGATGATCATGACGTAATGATCATGATCATGATCATGAGCGCGATCCTGACATCTTATTGAAAAAATGAGGGTCGATTGAGATAGCATATAGTCTCAGCTACAACATACTCAAAAATCAACAAAATCCAAGCAGAAATAACGGCGATATTGCTCGCAAAAGACAGGAATGTAGAATCCAGATTTGAGAAAAAGTCATCTCCCATAGGGATTACACGCAAAAAGTAATGGATTAAGTGAAAATAGGGTAATAATAAAGTAAAAAGGGTTGTTTATTACATTATTTGCGATTCTACGTGTTTTAATAATCAAAGGAGATGGTACAGTGAAAGGTCAAAAGGGAAAAAAAGTGAAGAAAAAAATTGTTGGAGACACCCGGACTTGAACCAGGGATCTCGAGGTTGGAAGTCAAGTGCGTTACCGATATACCAAAACATCTCCCATAGCGATTACACGTGAACGGGAAATGGAATTCTGAAATCCTACTTTGCAAGTGAAATATGAGCATGATCCCGGCATCTGATCGAAAAATAAATGGAACATTCGTGATAGCTAATTGTTCAGCTACAACATACTCGAAGCTCAGCAAAAACGAAGCTAAAATAACGGAGATATTGCTCGCGAAAGACAGGAATGTAGAATCCAGTTTTGAGAAAAAGTCATGCCCCATAGAGAATACACGCAAAATGTGAAAAATTGACATGCCTCCTTTAATCGAAAAAATACGCCATGATGCATTTATCAAAATGAAAAATTGTTGACACTGTATTTGTAGAAAATTGTCTCAGCTAAAACATATCAAAATTTGGAAGAAAATAGATTAATATTTACAGAGTTACAATCAATTTTCCAAAAATATACTTACGTCATAATATGCAAATTGAAATTTTGAGTTCGGAGGCAATTATGATGACGTCATGAGTTAATTGAGGGTCAAAATGAGACATGAAATCATATCTCCAACTCATAATCTTTCCAAATATGAAAAGATATTGGAAATTTTCATCCATCCTGAAGAGTTACAATGAATTTTGTATAGGCATGTTTTTGCCCATGTATTTTGGATAAAGATAACGCAGGTTTGCGCGTGCTGTCAACTTTGACGAACGCTCATTGCGTTATTAAAAGGTGAACAAGTTATCAAAATGCTTGGAAAAATATGCCACATAATTATATGATGACAGGGAAAATTTGGCGATTCTATGTTGCAAAATGCCAGTACGCGCGAAAACGCGCGCGCATGCGCGTGTGCGCGTTTTTTTTGCAAAATGCCTAAAATGGCCTGAAACGTATGCAAAAAAAAATTGGGATGATTTGGAGCATTTTAAATTTTTACGCGCGCGTTAACGCGTGGACGAACGCGTACGCGCGCGTTTGCGCACGTTTATTGACCTGAAATTGACCGGACGGATATTGATCTTAATCATTATAAATATGAATCAAAAATTACTTTCCATTATGAAGATATGATCATAAGTTGATTTTCACAAAATGGCGCCTGGATGACGTCACGATCATTTTGATTCTCTGAAAAGTCACGCAGTTCTAAGTTAGAATAAGATCTATCATCATAGAAAAATTCATGACAATGGCTTTATTCAGTCTTGAGATATCCTGCGAACAAATTTGAGGAAGAATAAATAAAAATCTTGACGAAATCAATAGGTGATACGTAGACTTCGTACGTATCACCTAATAAGGAAAGGTTATTGAAGGAAGAAACAGAGAATAACATTAGGAAAGGTTATAGAAGGAAGAAACAATGAATAACATGAGAAATAGTTATAGAAGGAAGAAACAAAGAATTACATAAGGAAAGGTTATTGAAGGAAAACATAAGGAAAACATAAGGAAAGTTTATTGAAGGAAGAAACCAAGAAAAACATAAGAAAAGTTAATAGAAGGAAGAAACAAAGAATTACATAAGGAAAGGTTATTGAAGGAAGAAACAAAGGAAAACATAAGGAAAGTTTATTGAAGGAAGAAACCAAGAAAAACATAAGAAAAGTTTATAGAAGGAAGAAACCAAGAATAACATAAGAAAAGGTTATAGAAGGAAGAAACAAAGGGAAAGATTATTAAAGGAAGTAAAAAAGGATTCATAAAAGGTTATAGAAGGAAGAAACGAAGGATAACATAAGGACGGTTATAGAAGGAAGAAACTGAGGATAACATAAGGACGGTTATTGAAGGAAGAAACAAAGGATAACATAAGGATAGGATATAGAAGGAAGAAACAAAGGATAACATAAAGAAAGGTTATCGAAGGAAGAAACAAAGGATAACATAAGGAAAGGTTATTGCAGGAAGAAACAAAGGATAAAATAAGGAAGGTAATTGAAGGAAGAAACAAAGGATTAAATAAGGAAAGATTATTGAAGGAAGAAACAAAGGATAAAATAAGGAAAGGTTATTGAAGGAAGAAACAAAGGATAACATTAGGAAAGGTTATTGAAGGAAGAAACAAAGGATAACATAAGGAAAGGTTATTGGAGGAAGAAACAAAGGATAACATAAGAAAAGGTTATTGAAGGAAGAAACAAAAGATAACATAAGGACGGTTATAGAAGGAAAGCTGTGACACCCAGTTTCCTTGATTGAGACCAAATGTATCAAGTTCCTCCTATTAATTTTCTTTAAAAGAAGTCAGAATATTGAGATACATTGCTGAGTTTCAGAGCTAAAGGATCATTGAGCAAAGATACCTGCCTAGATAAAGCATCTCTTTCATGCAATCTTCCTGGCGTACATGTAGCAGCTCTAGGTGCCAGAAGAGGAAAGATCTAACGAGGTAAGGTTATATATTCAAACCTTTCATGCAATCTTACTAATGTACATGTAGCTGCTTGTGATCCCGGATAAATTCAAATTGATTTTGCGATGACGTTGGGACAAAAAAGATTGATGTTTGATAATTGATAACGATACCTTAAATTGTTGTTGATGAGACAGTAGGCCTAATCTAGTGGATGGGGTGACAGGGTAGTATTGCATATAAATGTAAACAGACATGTAATGTCCATGTAGAGACTGTACTCAGTGGGTTTTTTTATTAATAGATGTTAATGGTTTTAATAAACTTATATTAGAGCCCCTAAAGTGTTGGGAGCCCCCAAAATTTGATGGCAAAATTTCACTTAAATTGTATCATAATGTGAAAGATGCTGTCATTTAAGACACATTTCTGCAAAGATTTTCAAAACAAATGTGTTTGAAGACGAATATTGATTAAAAAATACAAAATGTTGGTTTTCTGTGTACATCAGAAAACCCAAATTATGTTTTCTTTCATCAATATTTGTCTTCAGACACATTTTTTTTTTTTTTTTTTTTTTTTTTTTGGGGGGGGGGGAATCTTTGCAGAAGTGTATCTTAAATGACATCCTCTTTCACATTATGATACAATTTAAGTGAAATTTTGCCATCAAATTTGGGGCTCCCAAGACTTTAGAGAGGCTTTGAGACAGGCCAGTGATTAATTTCTGTTAACTTTTGGCTAAGTTTTTTACCCTTAATTTAAGACAGCTCCCTTCCAGACTTAAGCCAATTATTTGGAGGCCTTGATTGGCAGGCATATGGTTTTCTTACGCAGTATGATAACCTGCGCACAATTATATTAGCGCGCATTTATTGCAACGCATTAATTGCGCATCACTTTTGATTGACCGTGTGATGTCACAATGCTTATCAGTACCAAATATTTTACTTAAATTTTGTCTAATGTAAGTACAAGTCTAAAATGCGATTTGAATATGAAATAAGTAAATTTCTTAGCTTAGCCATTTACTTAGTAAATTTCTTACTTATTCTAAGTATTGAATTGAATACCGGCCCAGGTCTTTAATGACGTGAGATATGTTTTTTGTACATTACAGTAAAATAACCACCAACATCAGAATCAAGATGGACACCCAAACTGTAAACCTGGAAGGTACTACATCTATGGAACCACCTGAAGGCACATCCTTTGTTTATGATACTAGGAGCCAATTAGTTGTAATCGTTGGTTCTTTACTCATTATCATAGGAATACTTGGTTCCTTTGGAAACCTGATGGTCATTCTGGCTGTCTCCCTCTGCCGAAATCTGCAAAACAAAACCCATGTGTTTGTGGTGAGCCTCAGCGTCGCTGATTTTATCACGGCACTGACCCTTCCATTTCAAGGTTTCTCAGTGCTCTCTGAGACTGGATGGCCTTTTGGCAATGGGTTGTGCAAACTGTTTGGAGCCTTGCTTATTTTTACGTTAGCAGTCAGCTTCTTTACTTTGGCTGCAATAGCGGTTGACCGTTACATCCACATCACGAAGAGTATGAGACTGCAACAGAAGATCTACACTCGCAGTAGCATTGCTATCATGGTAGCATTCCTGTGGCTTTTTCCCTTCCTGGGGATGGTTGTACCACAGCTAATTCCTGCAACAGGTGGTATAAAGTATAGTCCTGACACGAGGACCTGTGGTTGGGACTTTGGGCATCCCATGCATGGAGTGTTTCGAAACATAACCTCAGCATGCGCCATGTTTTGCACCGCCCTGATCATCTTCTGCTATGTTGCCATCATGCTCTATGTCCGGAGGCATATCAGAGAGACAAGGGACATACTGAGGGTATCTTCTGGCAATATCAACAACCTAGTGGCATCACCTACTGGATCAAGTAAGATGCAGATTGACATCACCAAGAACATGGCGGTTGTTATAGTGGCCTTCTTCCTTTGTCTTCTCCCTTATTCATGCAGTACCTACTTATATAAACCAGAAATATGTGCTTCTTTGTTCTTCTTTGTGCTTCTCACTCTTTCTACTTGTCTGAACCCTATGATATATGCTGTCAAGCATCCTACATTTAAAAAAGTTTTCAAGTGCATGGTCTACTTCAGGTTCCATGATATTCCTCGGCCATCAGCATGGCTCAAGAATATTCTCCGTGAAAGAAATGTGGCTTCATCTAGGGCTTAATTTGTCAATCTTTTGCAAATCTTTCGGTACTTGGCACAGTTTTTGCACATAAGTATACTGTATCACCGACAAAAAATGTGGAAGGCACAGTTGGTAATAATTGATAGTCACACACAAGACCTCGTAGGAAACCACTTTTAACCTTCCCCATATCTGGGATATCGTAGCTTTGACACTAATATGGTAAGCTTAGATTGAAAATCTCAAGTTAAACTTGACATAAAGGTAAAGTGTTGAGAAAGTTGAGGAAATTGACCCGTAAGATTAAATTTTCAAAAGCATCGTCAAGTTTGCAGTCAGAATGTATGTGAGCGCACACTCACAGTCATGCAGCCAAAATGGTCAAGCATGATGTCAATGCCTATCGTGAGAAGCAAAACTTCTATTCAATTCAGTGGAAATTAAAAGATGTTTCTAAAATCGTACCATGTTAAAAGTATTGCAGCAATTTCAATCTTGGGTAACACTGGCAGGGGGGGGGTGGGGGGGGGTGGGGGTGGCACAACTGGCCTGTGCCTAATTCAAACTGTGCCCACATTTTTTTTCTTTTTATCTCTCTTTTGCTTGGTCAGAAAAAACAATTATAGTAATAAAAAAAAACACAACAACACTTAAAATCCCTGATGCCATTTCTTTGGTTCAGACTATTCTGACACAAACCAAACTATAAGTTTCATCTTTCCATTACCAAACACCATTTGTTGCTGATACCGCCAAACTGTATTTTGTATAAATTTCCAAGTGATATGTAACAAAACTATTTTTAATGAAATATTTTGCTGTTTAAATTTCAATTTCATGTCATCTTACAGCTGGCAAATGTGCATACCTTTCCCCATTTAAATATAAGTATTATTGTGTATGATACATACATCTCAAAGGATGAGGGAGATTAAATCTAAGCTGAACAGTAAATCATTATTGGCATAGACCGGTTTACCATCATATTCAAATTGTATGCATACTTTTGAAACAAATGTTATTCTTGAAAACCTGAAGGCTTGCCCTAGACTTGCCCCACACAGCAACAAATAATGTATGCAGACTGGATTCCAAGTATTGTAGTTCATTCATTAATAACAGGTTAATGGAATACCTTGTCACTAGGTCCCCAGGAAAGAAACATCCATAAATTTGAATATGTTAGTAATCCGGTCTTTTCTTGTCCGGAAATAAAAATGGGAAAAACAATCAAACACATATAAAGCACTTGAAATGGTAATATTAATGCTATTTATAATTATATTGCAATCGTTATATAAATGATGTTCCGTTTCTAATGTTATAATTATTTTTTTAGAATGTTTTTATGTTTGTGATGATGTACATTTGCTATTATCGTAACGTGTAATTTTTCTTGTATTATGTACATGTACAATGTCTGTAAAGCCAGTGAATTTTTTTTCTTCCTCAATGGACAATAAACGTCAATTCAATTTAAATTGTAATTGCGTGCATTAAAGGGACTTGGTAACATTGTTCAGGTGAGAGATAGTGGTGCTAATGTAGTGTCTTCAATGCTAGATGTACAATTAAAGATAATCTGAAAATTTGAGTGAAAACGGACCATTATTCATGGTACAAATTGGGAAAAACTGATCTGATTGATTCCTTAATTCTCCCAACTATATTGTTACAATTCCATTACATTTTAGGTGAATGTAAACCGTCACAAAGCAATAAAATGGCTCTACATTCCATTCCAGACATTTAAGTGTTGACAGATTTTTTATAGCCTGTTTTATGTCTTTTTTTCATGGAAAAACGGTTGGGAAAATTCAAAAATGGTTGGGAGAATTTACTGTTAATCACTGTTAGAGGGTGCCTCACATCGACGCCTTCAAAGAAAACCATAGATATCTTCGTGGTTTGAGAATTTTTTCAGGATTTTTTGCATGTCAGAGGGTTAGTACAGTAGAAGGAATATAATAAGTAACATTTTATACAAAAATTAAGCAATTTTTTTCATCAACCTTCAACAATGTTACCACATCACTTTAAGGACGGCCAAATTACAGGATGTAGCCAGAAATGAACGTAATCTTTATTCAGTATTCGTATTGTAAAAGACTGTTTTGATTACCTTTATTTTCACTTTCTATATTATTGTTTCCTCATAATTGACAATCATAATTCTTACATGTAAGTTATATTTTCAGTAGAAAGAGAAACTCTGAAAGAAGCTTTTGTCACAAAGAGGCAAGCCACTTGGCTAATATATATAAGGCTGATTCCTCTGTAGACATCTGCATATGTACTTTTTGTTTTAGCTCTCTCTCTCTCTGTATCTGTCTCTCTATCTCTCTCTGTCTCTCTATCTCTCTCTTTGATAGTATGTACTTTAAAATAAAATCAGTGTAAACCAGAAAAAATGAGTCACTGAACTTTTGGGAGTTGTTATGGACAGCTATTCTCAGAGGAAGAAACTTTTGCAACTTTCAAAAATTCCTTTGCTGCATTAATCACATATAGTCAAACCTGCTTTAGCAACCACCTGTATCAACCTGAGTCAATACGGCAACTACTAAACTGGAAGAACAATAATGACAATCATGATGCTACTACTACTACTTATAACAATAAAAGCAATGCTATGAGTATTTGTATGATTAGTTCATTCAAAAATGTTATTTTGAATTTACTCTGTAACAAATCCTGTAGAGATAGAAATGAATTAAGAACACTTTGATTTGTTGGGATAACTATAACATGCAGTTAAGGGTCTATCGACCTTAACATTTAGTAGGCAAGCCTTTGTCCACTCCTTTGGGCTTTCTCAAGCCAAGTGATTATTCCCAGTTTCTTGCTGTCTGCTGCCTCACCATCACTGGAGTACAGATATGTGACAACTGACAACAACATTGGATGGAATGATGCCCATGTTATTGACTTTGAAACACATTTCTGGTCAAGAAAGGTGAATGAATCCATCTGGATGAAAATGATTAGGCCTAGTCCTTCACTGAAAAGGGACTCTGGCTATTCATGTCACCTACCTTCGCTCCAGTGATCTTGAGGCAGCAGACAGCAAGAAACCATAAATATTGCATTAAAGAAAAAACATAAGAAATTATGTATCTTGACTTACATTAGAGCTGCTTTCCATGAGCAAATCTGCCTCTCCACCCGCAGCTGGACGTCTGAACTGCTCTCCAATTTCAAACTCCCATTTCACCTCTCTTCCAAGTACATTCTTACTCTTCCACTTACGCACTGCACATAAAAGACAAAACAGAAAGCTTACAATACATAGACATTCAAAACAAATATCTCTCCATAAGATAATGCTTTTAAGAAGCACAGCTCCAGTTTTGTAGGAACTGAATCACCTCTCCAACCTGTTAAATTTAATATCTTTTAGAACAAATTATGCATCCTTGCCATTTGGATCCTCACAATAACCAGTCAAAACATATATACATGTAGCTTGTGGTGACCACATGATTACATGTAAAATTGTAAATTGTGCTGTGTTGAACTAAATGCATGGAATACACATTTACAGTGATTGTTCTTGTTAATTTTGAATAAATAAATGAACTTACGAAACCCCCAAAATAACCATCTTAAATATTTAAACAAAATAATAGCATAAAGTATTTTTTTATATAGGAAACCACTACAAGCCATGTAGGATGCTGTACCCTTGACCTAGACCTTGTTCCAAACTGAAAATTAAAGCAACCTTTCATCTCTTACCTACCGGTAGTAAGTCATTGGTTTTGACGTCACCTTTCATCTCTTAGTCTTACCTAGTAAGTCATTGGTTTTGACGTCATACTCCTCCACAAGCTCTCTACCATCCAGGAGGATAAAATGAAGCTTTCTTCTTCCTGTGAATGATGACAAAAATAAATAGTATTGTAACTTAGTGCTGTGCTTTGGTGGTAAATTTACTACCCTTTTAGACGTAATATATTTCGGATAGTTTACCAAACTTTACAGTTGAAACAGAGAAACTAATGAATTCCAAAACTTTTGACACGATTGTAAGCAATTAAAATGGCAAATAACATCATGTGATGGAGGATAAGAATAATGAATATCACATTCTTTATGTTCTTTATTTCAATGTGCACGAATTTGGACACCCTATCACTTTATGACAGTATCATCAATAAATTAAAAAAGTAAAAGTAGATCTAGACCCTAACTTGTTAGGTCTAAACAAAGGCAAAGCAAGGGGCGAAAGGCCAAAATTAAATTGTTATTGAAACCGTCTTTGAAAATTTATGAATCTAAGTTGACAAAACTTCCAAAACAAAGCATGGAATGAAGCATTAATTAATCTGATTGCAAACGTGGGCACAGCTTGATTTTGTAATGTGCTGTATTTTAAAACACTCGAGATTTCTTCTTCAGCATAAAGCTACAGTCCCATATACGTCCCGGACCGTCCCGGACCATCCCGGACCCCATCCGGGGTGATCCGGGATTCGGTCCGTGTTGACACCGTGTTGGCACCGGGGTGGTCCTGGATGGTCCTGGATGGTCCTGGATGGTCCTGGGCGGTCCGGGAGTCGACCCCGGATGTTTTTGACGGTCAAAAACTGCCGGGGTGGTCCGGGACGGTCCGGGACAATAGTTTGATCCGGGGTGATCCGTGTAGCCACCGTGCTGGGTCCGGGGTCATCCGTAGTGGCGCCGGGGCGGTCCGTGTTGATCCGTGGCAGTCCGGGAGTGAGTTATTGACCGCCCAGGACCATCCAGGACCATCCAGGACCATCCAGGACCATCCAGGACCACCCCGGTGCCAACACGGTGTCAACACGGACCGAATCCCGGATCACCCCGGATGGGGTCCGGGATGGTCCGGGACGGTCCGGGACATATATGGGACTGTAGCTTAAAAGCATCACACTTTTTTTGAACAAAACATCCCGGACCATCCCGGATCACCCCAGACCATGGTCCGGGATGGTCCGGAGTGGTCCGTGCTCGTCCGTGCTGGTCCGGCTTTATATGGGACTGGGGCTTAAGGGCCATTCCATGAGAAGAAGGACATGACATCAAAAAAAGAAATGTACCTCTTATGTTAATTCTTTGATTTATCACTAACCTTATGCCATGGATGTTCATAAAACATTAGGGCCTTTCAAATTCAATACAATTTATTTTTCATTTTTGTTGATTTCCTAAGATCTCAAACCATCATCAAAAACGTACATGTGGGACTGTAGATGAAAAAAAAACAATTTATTGCAGATTACACAGGATTCTTGTAATATTTTTTCCTGAAAATTTCGCTAAATTGAAAAAGATGAATATATTTCCATATTCTAAGCCTTTTTTAAGGGGTCCTGGGATATTTAATCTATTACATAGGGGTGAAAATGGCCTCCGGACAAAACGTAACGCGAGTTACCGTAACGTGAGTTACCGACATAGACTATTTGCTTCCTGCATTTTACTAGTCCATTGTTTCTTATCTTTAATATTGTGATCTTATACTTGTAAGTCTCAACCTACTATCAACGTAGGAAAGATTTTGTCAAGATTGTCTAGTATGAGGAGACTTTGCCAAAAGAGGGTCTCATAGAATTGACCATGTCCTTTTTTTGTAACGCGAGTTACCAAAATTCAATAATCCAAGAATCTAAAAATGTTTGTTCTTCAATTTTCTTTTTTGTTTCATTCAGTTGTTCTATATCTACCCTGTCCATGTTTGAAAAAAGTATCTTGCAGATCCTAGCAGTTCTAAAGATATAGGCACATTATCGTGTCAATGTACCCATTAGGTGTAACGCGAGTTACCATGGAATGGCCCATAACCACTCAAGCGCGCCGGGAAACTTGGGTGGGCATCGAGTCTAGTCCAGCCTAGTCCCATATGCTGCATGTTTTGTGAGTGAATAAAGCTCGGCCGAACTACTCATTCTGCCCACATTTTGTCATTAGTTCAGTATTATAAAGATAAATTCCCACACATGTACGTTCTATGCATACTTTTAATTATAGGTAAAATACATTACCGTCCTGAATTAATGCGGTTTTACGTGATTTTCTAAGTGTCTCCAACCACGCCATTGAAGAGGCCATCCTAGCAACAGTCGTTTTGGTAATCGAAAATAGCAATCGCGAGCGCGAGCTAGATGCCTCCCCCCCCCCCCCCCCCCCGAGATCCTGCCACAACAAGCCCACAAAGTATATAGGGGTGGTGGTGGTGGGAGGGGGGGGGGGGAGACATTGCAACCGGCTTGTGCCCCCTCATAACTAAGCCAAATTGACCTACCTCAAGTACACAATCCCCAAAATTTGCAAAGTTCTCTTAAAATATAACATCCTGCAGTGTGGTGATACTTCCTCGTTAATTAACACTTAAAATGACGGGCGGAAATATAGGTAGAGGTCTAGCTATAGCTGGATAATAGCCCTTTAAGTATTAGTAGGGAAAAGAGATCAGCCTTTTGGAGGGAGTTCATTTACACAAATTCACCTCACTCTAGGATCTATGTTACGTATATATAGGATTTTTAATGAAATCTTAGCGAGGATAATAGTACAGAGAGAGAGAGAGAGAGAGAGAGAGAGGAAAGAGGGGGGGGGGGGGGGAGAAGCCGGGGGAACTAGCGAGAGATAGCCATACACAGAGTTTGGCCAACTTGCTTTCAGTTAGTCACTACATGTACATGGCATATATTATTCGTTTGTTTTGTGCTTGCATGGTCTACAACGCAGAGTCCACGGTGCCACAACTCGAACCGGATTGGTCAAACTCTCATAATCAATGACACGAGGGCGTATAGTCAAACGGCGCCATCTCAGATCACCTCCTATTGGTAATGCACGCAATCTTTAATAAAGCATCTTGCCCATTGAGTTGGTGATCAGCCAGCCCTTGATAGCATAGTTAACAGTGCATGTGCACAGTTGCAATCTAAATAATAGGTAAAAACTCACCTTAATTATGACACCTGTTTTTGAACAAGTATAGATTAGCTTTTATTATCCTTTATATTGTAACTCCGTCAAAAAATTATGGAGAATATTTATATGAAAAGTTGATAATTCGATTATCGAGAACTACTACAAGGCTTAACAAAAGGCAAGATATCAACAAGGGTAGTGGGCATAGGCGCCGGAAGTGGGGGGCAGGGGGGGGGGCAGTTGCCCCCCAAAACGCCGCCCCCTCCCCCCCATAAAAAAAAACAGTAAAGGAGTAAACATGGTTTGTATTTTTAATCCAAAAGAACGTAACAATAATAAAAACCTGAATTAAATCACATATACAATTCCAATCAAAGAAAAAGGAAAGTTCACAGGAATTAAATTTCACAAACATTGCGCATGCCACCTATACGGTATTTTAAATGGAGGTCTCTATCATCGTGGACATATTGTGCGAGAATGGGAAAGCGTGTCCGTTTTTTGGTTATAGGGGTGAGAAGACATGAGCCCCTGAACGCTGGCGTACTGATGGGGGGGGGGGGGGGTAATGTATTTCTTATTCGAAACAAGTGGTTTACAAATGTTGACGTTGTGACATGATTTTCCGGCATTTTTCTCCATTTTTTTTGTAAGTCATACCTTTTTATGCGTTTGTTGGAAAATAAGAAATTCTCACATTACAGTCAGTCGAAATACGCTTATTTAGAAGCCTTTATGTCATGGTCTGCAAAGTGGCTGGGCTCGAGCCCCCCCCCCCCTCCTTTTTTAAAAAGTATGTTAAAGAGAAAAAGAAAGAAAGACGGAGAAAAAAAATAAGTGACCTGCCAATGTCACAAACAAGGTATAAAAAATGCTCATCTGACCGTAATTAAATGCTTAAAACCCCAGAGCTTACGGGGGCTCCACCCTCGGACCCCACCAAGGGATCTAAGGCGGGCCCATGGATGCTCATCTGACCGTAATTAAATACCTAAAACCCCCGAGCTTCCAGGGACTCTGTCCCCTGGACCCCACCAAGGGCCCTAAGGCGGGCCCCTGGATGTTCATCTGACCGTAATTAAATACCTTAAACCCCTGAGCTTCCGGGGCTCTGCTCCCTGGACCCCCCAAGGGCCCTAAGGTGGGCCCCTGGATGCTCATCTGACCATTATTAAATACCTAAAACCCCTGAGCTTCCGGGGGCTCTGCCCCCCTGGACCCCACCAAGGGCCCTAAGGCGGGCCCCTGGATGCTCATCTGACCGTTATTAAATACCTAAAACCCCTGAGCTTCCGGGGGCTCTCCCCCCTTGGAACACGTCAATTGCCTTACAGAGGGCCCCTGGATGCTCATCTAACCGTAATTAAATACCTAAAACCCCTGAGCTTCCGGAGGCTCAGCCCCTTGACCCCCTGCCGAGGCTCATGCCCTGGACCCCACGCCAATTTACGCTCTACCTGACCGATAATACTCCTCTTTGAAAAACGTTCCGCGGGACCTGCATGTAACGTGTAAGACTGGTGGTGATGCAGATTTTTCGTCTGCCCCCCCCCCCCCCCTCCGAACTTTTTTCTCATTACGTCACTGCCCCTGGAAAGTGAGCCCCTGTAAAGTGAGCCCCTGGAATGTTTGCACCCCCTCCCCTCAATCCCAAACTGCTTCCGGCGCGCCTGGTAGTGGGTCAGAGAGCTGCAGCCACTGAGAACGTTACATTACCAATATTCGGGTATCCATTACTTCGTAAACAGGCAGCGAGGTGATCAATTTTCAAATTTGTATATTTTTTAAAGTGTGTTTGGATAAGGAAATTACATACTAAAGTGTATTAATTTTTGCTCACTTGCTTAGCTCACTTGCTTAGCTCTCTCGCAAAATGCAGAAAACGGAAGTTGATATGCGGACGAAATATGCGCAATTTTTGTAATTAAACAAAAAATCATGATTTTTCTCATACATGTTAATAGGTCTATATAAAATCATCAAGTCAACTTGATGATAAAGAATTTCAAGTTTTCAAGGCCACATTGTATTTTCATCTTACAGACAGCGAGCATGTAACTATGATTAATTTTCTATACGTCTTGTAACCATTTCTCATGATATGTTTGCAATCGGTTTATATAAAAGCGCCTCACATAAATATTTCAGTGTGTATTTTGCTAAGTGTATCTTTATGGGTTGCTTAATAGTAAAAGAAAAGAGCCACTCAAGTTCCAACAGGCAATAATATTGTATGGTCATCGCTCAAGACTAAACAAGACTAAGTTTGTTTAATCCAGAATTGAATGGACCGAGGATGGGGACCGATGAAAAGAGCAAGCATTCTGTTTGAGTTTTGGTCATGAATCCCGTTATGTTAGCTATCATGATGACTAATTGCATATAGTGTGAGTAATCCTTGTACTCTTCTATGAAAAACTTAGATACGAAATTCAGAACGAAAAAGTTCAGTTTGTGTTGGAGATTTCAGCAGAAAAATGCACAATCATACAACGAAAATCTGTTAATCATTACTCCAAAACCTACATGCTATATATAAGTGTGATACTATAGAAATTGGCTTCTCTTTCCCACCATGAATACCCATATCATATTTTGTAATGTACAGCAATTACTGTTCCTTTCGACAAAATGTTGTCCATGGGGCTTAATGGAGAAAAAAGAGACCCAAATTTGTAGGGGCTATCCGACATCCCAGCCCGCCGAAATTGGGGATGGTTCTTATGTGCCCCCCCCCCCCAAAAGTCATCTTTGGCCAACTTTCTTGCCACCTGTGTACCAAAATTCATGATAAATATCTTTTGGTTAAATCTATCATTGCACGGTATAGTAACCGTTGGTTGTAATCATTGCAATTGGGTAGTTGATGAGAAGCACGCCGTTAAGACATATGCATGAAGCTGATGTGTATTGTAGGCCTTGTTCATATTTCTTCCGTTATCTGTAAAGGAATTAAGAAAGAAGACATAATGATAACTTAACATATTTATGCCTGATTAAATCGTTTATTTTCATTAAAATAATTAAAGCTGTAAAGTATTGCTTAAGTTAGTTACTGAAGGTTGATACTCTCAAACGCATCTTAACAATAGGTAAAGGTGAAAATAAGCTTGTCATTGTAGATTAGCACACCCAATCTCTTGTTCTTTTATTTTTTTTATTTTTCGTTGATTCTTTTGATAAGGTTTAAAACAGAAAGCGTCTAAAAAGGCTCACCATGAAAATGGTTTTCCTCATCTTTATTCCGCCATTGCAACAGATCAGCTTCATGATCAGTATGATGCTCATCACCGCATTACCAACCAATATATTTGAAATACATTCCAATTTCATAGAAACATTGTCTCTCATTTCTCCTATTTCACATCGCGATTAGGCGGCAAAACCCCTGTGATGTACTAGCCTACAACTAACTGGGCAAGGGGCGGGTAGCGATTGTGGCTCACTGATGCTGCTAGTTCACTGTTTGTAATAAAATAGGCGAGAACGGTTAACTTACTATATTTTCAACATCACTCATGTAGTTTATAAAGCTTGCGTTGAATGCTGAATGGCGGCGATTCACCTTTAGCAGCAAAATGTAGGGTAAGTTTCAGTAACTTAGATAAATTCGAAAGAAATACATAGAATAATGCTTATTGATATTAGGCCGCTTTGTTTGTTTCATGTAGTACATTTTGCATGTCATTTATGATGTTCATCGCAATCAGCTTTGGCCCACCCCCGGCCCTGTGCGCTGGTCTCCACATTTTTCATGGTCATTGTCACTGTCCAAGGAAAGTCCTGTTGAGAGAACAAGGAGAAGAAAAATAAAGTTGTTAAAGATTTCGTGATTTGTATTGATGTTTGATTTGTCAACTCAATTCAATTCAGTTCAAGGTTTATTAAAACATATTTTCGCAGCCGTAAAAGGCTGAATTGCGATACAATTCACAGATAAAAACATGCACAATTACAAAAATATACATATCTAATTACAATGAACATAGTTTGACATAAATTAAAAATCAAATATAAAATATATAAACAGAAAACCTAAGAGTTCAAAGGTGGGTTTTAGAAAAATGGGTGGTTCAAGTTACATTAGGAGTTTAGCGATTATTTAAATTTTAAAACCATTGAAGACATCTAAAGACAAGATGAGAAATTGCAAAAAGATTATATTTCAAATTAAAAACTCAACTTTGGAATGATAAAAGATAAGTTTGTTCATTTAAACAAT